GCTTGAGCCTGTCCATCCCCTCTCTCAGGGATGTTGGACTCACCACACAGCTGGATGTTATCCACAAACTTGCTGAAGATGCACTCAGTACCTCTGTCTGGGTCACCAACAAAGACAGCGCTGGTCCTTATATGGACCTCTGAGAAATGCCATTTGTCACTGTTCTCCATTTGGACACTGAGCCATTGACGACAGCTCTTTGAGTGCCACCATCCAGCCAACAACCTCCTGCCCAGCTACACTCTGGGTTAATCCCTTGTAGAGCCACTCTGCATGCCGTGATGCTGTGAATACTCTTCATCCTGCTGCACCCCTTGGCATCGTGGCATTGCTGAAAGATGGGGACTGACCTCGGCGATGGGCATGGGGCAGAAGCCCCCCATGGTGGACCCGGAGGTGCTCAGGGGGGGCAGGCAATGGGAGCAGGAGCAGCCCCCGCGGTGCCCGACGAACCGGCGGCTTTCCCGGCTGCGAGCTCGGGCTGCGGCTGCCCTCTGCCGGTAGCGGCCCGTCCATCTGCTGCTTTGCTACAGCAGCTCCATAAACTTGATTTTCTTCCAGGAAAAGAACACTCTCAAAAGCCAAGAAAGGAAAAAAAGGCAGGGGCAAGGGCAAGGGCAGGGCATGGAAGGAAGGGGAGGGAAGGGGAGGGGGGAAAGGGAAGGGAAGGGAAGGGAAGGGAAGGGAAGGGAAGGGAAGGGAAGGGAAGGGAAGGGAAGGGAATCATCCAAAGCAAAAAACAGCATAGCTATGCTTGGAGCAGAGAAAATATAAAGAAGATGAACACAATAATAGAATAATAGAATCACTTAGGTTGAAAAAGAAAAAACCTCTAACATAATCAAATCTGACAGATTACCTAGCACTACCAAATCCACCATTACCCCATGTCCCTAAGCAACACATCTACACATCTTTTAAGTACCTCTCAGAGTGGGAACTTGGCTATTTCCACAGGCAGCCTGTTCCAATGCTTCACAACTCCTTCAGTGAAGAATTTTCCTAATATCCAACCTAAACCCCTCCTGAGGCCATTTCCTCTCTTCCTGTTGCTCATTGCTTGGGAGAAGAAACTAACCTGAACATCTCTCCAACTTCCTTTGCAGTAATTTTAGACAGTTCTCCCCTGAACTCCATTTTCTCTGGGCTAAATAAACCCAATTGCCTCAGCTCACCCCTTTGGGTGTCTGAAGCTGCTGGTTCCTCATCCTGATGCTGCCTGCAGGCTATTGGAGGCAAAGCCAGAGGTCCAAGAAAAAGTGGCATTCACTGCCCAACAAAGCCTCTTTGAGCTCCCTTTGAGACGTTTCCATGCGGGGTCCTGGGATCATGCTGATATCTTCAGTGCTGGCACACTGACAGCTGTCCTTCCTGCAACCCCACATGGTGTTTGACAGCATGTCCCAAGGACTGTGACTGAGGCTAGGAGAGGGACCACATGCTGCCCCATGTTAGCTGAGGGGGCATCATGAGACAGACTTCCGAGACAGAGATTTCCAAAGTGGGGCCAAACGACACTCCGTTGCCATTCAAACTCCTTCCACACTTTGATTTTTTTCAGGATAGTGCTTTAGGCAGCAGATTTTTATCCAGAAAAAGGAGAAGTATCCAGCTCAATCAGTGCTTTTGAGCAGCCCAGAGCAGTGCTCCAAGCAGAACAGGATGTCTGGGATGGAGGGAGGAGTATGATACAGAGCATCTGCCCACAGAAAATGATGGATGTTGAGCTGAGAGGTAGCAGAGGAGGTGAGGACCAGGTAAAAACAACAAGCACCCCTTCAGCAGGGCCAGGTATGGATGAAGAGCACCCACCTGTATGTAAATAGGGGGGAGTGACAGCCACCCCCTGCACCAGGAGGAATTGCTCTGGCTGTACAACAGCAAGGGAGACTTAGGTGAGACACAGGAAAAAGCTGATGCTTACACCTGGGCTCATCATTTAGGAAGAAGCACATGTTCTACAAGTCTGTAGGATATGCAGAGGATATAGTTTAGTGCCCTGCTGTCAGAGGAACAATTGTCTGTGGGCATCAGCAAGTTGTGATTCAGAGGCAGACATCATATTTTCTGCTTAGACCATTTAGGATCACTGGGAAAGCACAGACAGCTTGGGGGCACCTGAAGTACTGTTGGTACCAAAGCACCTGTACAGCAGGAGGACAAACTGTGCACCTAGAGCAGTTTTCCTGAGCACAACTGGCTTTGTTAAGCAGCATCTTGACTGTGGGTGCCATTCACAAGAGCATGAGTAGGTGATTGTGAGCACAGAGCACGGGAAAGATGAGGAGGTCAGTAAACTGAAATGAGGGATTTATGCTGTAAAAAGTGTCACCAGTAAGTCCCTGGGATTTACCGTCTGATTGGTTTCCAGCTGGCTGCTGGAAATGGTCTGGTTCTTGGAATCAGGAGGAGAAGTTGATGTGGTTCAAGTGGAAGAAGGGGAGATATATCCCCTACAGAAACCACTCTTTCCTTATGGAGAGACACAGTGCGCTGCTCCAACGCAGAGTACCTGCTGCAATTTCCAGGTAGAGGAAAGCAGTTGGGTGGCACATGTTCACAAACGCATCAGTGTTCAGAGATGTAATGCAGGCTTTACAACCATCCTGCAGCACAGCCAAAATCCGTGGGTGCACATTATCTGTGAGCAGTTTGTTTCCGCTGAGAATGCTGGTGCTGCTGAGAGATGTGTGTCAGGACAGGACCATGACCCATCGATGCAGGTGCTGCTGGCTGATGTGGGAGCTGCAGACTCCTCCTCCCCACAGCTGCCCCAAAGCCACGCAGCCCGACAGCAGCCCCGCAGCACCCAGCCAGCAGAACAACCATGCGATGGCAGTGCAGACCGCTGCCAGCACTGCAGCAGAGCAGAGCAGGGCTTGCACGCTGCAGCCAGCTTCTGCAAACTGCTGCACATCCTGCAAGGGCAGGCAGGACTCCTCCGTACCACAGTGGAGTGTTAAAGCTGTGCAGAGAACAGAGAAGGTGAAGATCTACAGTCTGAACTGCCCTGTTTTCTCCATCTCCAAAAGGCTGCACTTCTAGCAGGCACCCTGGCTTTGTGTTTCTAGCATTGCAGCTGTCCTGCTGACTGCATCACAGCCTGTAGAGCACTGCTGCCTACATCTCTTTGGGGATCCCTGAGCAGTGTGTCTGTGCCATCACCTCACTGGATCGGGGAGGGGATGGCATGGGAACCAGAGGCTCTCCTGTGTGATGGGAGACTGACTTTGCTCCCACAAGGGCCGGGGATGGTGGCCGTAGCAGCTGGCACACAGGGGATGAATGCAGAGGGGATGGTTTATGCAGGACCCTGCTACTAATCTGGTTATCACCCCTCACTATGAATACTATTTGTTAGAGACAGAAATGCACAGGGCAATTTTCCATTTTTTTCCAGGCAGCACCAGGCATTCTTCTCTGGGGAAGACCTCCAATGGGCATTGGGACATCTCTGGGAGAGGGCCAGGATGAGAGTCAAGGCTATGTGAGTAGGATGCCTCAGGCACTCACTTCCCAGCCCAGCACTCAGCTCCCAATGGGCTGTGATAGGACAAACTCTGCTCTCTGCATCTGCATTTGCCAAAGAGTATCTGAAAAAGTGCAAAGAAAATAAGTTCAGCTTTATCCTTGAATAAACAACATGGAGACATTTGAGAAAGACCCATCCTATCCCCTGCAACAGCACACAGTGGCACCAGCAAGCTGTCCCATCCCAAGGATACCTCTTACATCAAAGTTGCTCCATCCTTGAAGCATAGGGAGAGTCTACCCAGATAGCCTTAGTACCTGTTCAGGTTATAAAGTTAGGTAGAATTGCAACATCATCTCCTCTCTACATCTGACCTTCTTTCCTTTACATTTCCTGGATGCATTCATTCTCTTCAGAAAAAGTACTCATGTGAATATGAAGGGCTTGGGGCTGCATGAATCTAAGCACCACAGCAAACGGAGCATCACCCTGGCACAGTGTGGTGCACAGATGGTGAATCACCAGAGTCCCTGCTGAGCAACCCCACAGCGGCTTCCAGCTGTTGGACCGAAGGCACGCACCTCAGGGGTGGAGCATGGGGAGCTGCCAGCTTCAGGAAGCTTCAAAGAAGCCAGGACTGATGCTGCAGGCAAGAATTGGATGTGTGAGCTGGGGACACAGCTGTGGGTCTGTGTTTTGGCTGGTGGTTCCCATGGCATGATCCCTCTCCCCTTCTCCATGCCTGGACTTTTCTGAGCAACATCGCTCCAGTAAAGCAGAACATAGTGCTCCATCCTGAAAACTCCTACCTTGTGAAGCCCAAAGCAGTGAGGGAAAAGACATTTGCTAGTGCTCCTGTACCTAAGCCCCAGTCTTGTCCCTTATAAAAGCTTCAAGGCCATGTACACACAGGCTTCCCTGCAGTACTGAGTAAACAGTCACCCCACTAATTCCAGGAAAGCTGGTGTGGTGCTTACAAGTTACCACTCTCCTGCTCAGGCACCTCACCACCTGGCACAACCTGATAACACAGTTCAACCCTCAGTGCTTCCATGCACCAGGTAAAGGGCGCAGACCTCAGGCTGCTGAGTGGGGGCTTTCATGTCTATCCCTGGCATGTGTGAGGCCAGGAAAGCTGTGGACTCCTCCGATTTGTCCTCCCAGGCAATTTGCAGATTGTGACGATAGTGAGGACAATTTATTCTCAGCCATCTGACGCTTTCTTGCCTGAGCGTACTCCCACACCAAGGGAGTGCTCAGCAAAACACACTTCTGGAGGAGAGTCTCCTGAGACTGCAAGAGTCCATGGGATTCATCTCTGCAACTTATAAAAGTTTTACTGCAAATCTTCTGGCCTAACTGAGCCAAGAGCTTGCTCCATAAATTACAACCAAGCCAGGGATTAGGAGCTCTAAAACAGACATACTTCGCAGCTAAAAATAAGGCACGGCACAAGCTTGAAGATTTGTTCTGCCTAGAAGTTTTATTACACCCAAACTGTATGAGATAATGTGCAACAAAGAAATGCTTAGCGGATCCATCTGCTTTTGGACACGTTTGCCTGTGCAATCACTCTGGAATGAGGCAGTGAAACTGTGAAAGAAAGCGGAGTGAGACGGTGTCATGGAGTGCAGTAAAACTTTCTTCAGACAAAGGAAAAGGTGACCCCATCCCCTCCCAGAGTTGTGCTTACCCTAATCTTGCAGTCCTGATGAAACTGCATCCCATATTCCCAGGACTTGGAAATGACTCTTGCGTGTGCCCTGGCTTTGCAGCTGGAGAGCATCCAAGGAGTCTGGATGGGACCTTGTGGGTGACTGGGGCAGACATAGAGAGCATCTCCTTGTGCATCTTCTGCCTCTAGTGTGAGCTCAGGCAGCATTTGGGGATGCCTGGAAAGGAGCAAACCCTGCTGGCACTGGTGCTTGGTGTTTTTGCTGAAGGTGGCTGGGTTCCTGCAGTCCTGGGGAAGGAAGTACACTTTGGTGTGCTGGGAGGTGATCAGTGTGGATCTAGCTCTGCTTGACTGTCCAGCATAAAGGTGACTCTAGCCAAGGACATGCTGGAGGTTCCTTTCCTGGATGGGGACAGGTGCAGGAGCTATCATCTGCTTCTTCAGTCCACCCCTGATTGCTGCAGAAGTCCAAGCAGACAGTTCTTTGCCATGCTGGGCTGGGCTCCCTAAGTTCATAAAGAGGAACAGACTTCAAGTTTTTCTTTAGGGGATAGCTTGTTTTTATCTCTAGAGATGCCCAGCTTCTTTCTCTGTGAGTCACTGAGTGCAACCTAACATGGAGACATGCAGAAAACTGTAGTGCAACCAATATGTCGGCCAAGACACACTGGAAATTGCTTTGGAGCACTAATACTGACACACTGGTCAGCATTTAGCATGGTGGCTTTGCAGAAGGATTTGGCTGGTGGAATGCAGAAGAGGGAAGAAAGCACTACAACCTGGCAACATCTTGCTGCTCTCCAGAACTTTGCAGGGAACTGATGATTCTGGGTAACACCAAGCTGTGGGGTGAATTGCCAGGACTTGCCAGCACCAGCCCAGCCACTGGGGCTGAGGGTATCACACTGGCAACACTGGAGCAGAGCAGAGCAGAAGGACCAAACTCAGTCCCAGTGGTCCTTTGGGATGCACAAGGGCAGCGGTTCTGGGACAGAGGCAGTTTTGAGCCACCCCACCGCCAAGCCACGCAGCAGCATTCAGTGCAGCTCAGCACTGGCTGGAGCTTTTGCTGCTGCTCCGGGGTCCTGCAGCCTCAGGTGTGCACAGGTGGTTGTCAGGGCCACCAGGAAAAGGCCATCCCTGGGAACATACCCTGCACTGAGAGCAAGCTGTGACACGCAGCGAGCCATCTGTTTCCATCCTGCAGCTGCTGTCCTTCCCATTGCAATTTACTCTGCCTCCTATAATTTATTCATCCCAGGATGCAGCTTGTACATCTGCAGTATCATTACTGGAGACGCCATTAGCTTGAAAATGTTATAAACCTCTGTGCAGGTGATAAGTTGAAAAGTTAAAGAGGGTTATTGTGGCAGGAAAAAAAAGGGGTATTTGCTCAGTGTTCATCTCACACCAGAGAGCTGGGCTCTGGGGGGCTGTGGAGGGAGATCAGCAGGCTGGTGTGAACGAGTAAACTGCTGCCAGCTCCCAGCCAGGTGCAAATCCCTCTCTGCTGGATCCACGTGCTGGCCAAGGGGCCTACAGGCATTTCCACATCTTTCTTTCCTCTTGCCTCTCAGCTGCATTGTTTCCTCAAGCCAATGACAAGAGGGGCTGCAAATCCAGGTGTTTGCAGCTGGACTTGTTACCCGTGTCTCTACCAGCTCCAGCATTGCTGCATGACCATTGACCTGACAGTGGACTGCAGCCTGGATACTGCAGGGCTGGATAATCTGACTTCATTCTCCCCTGTCTGTGCATCTAATCAATCCTTTTGACACTGTGTCATTCTGCCTCCTGTGGGTCATCATTCTGCAGCATGGGTTCATAGCACATTGGTTAAATCATCACCCAAGCTTTATGCTTTGTCATCTCTCAGCAGCAGTCCAAGCTCAAGCTTCAGCCATCATTTCCTGATCTGCACACCCCTCACCATCCTAAAGGCATCCTGAGTCTCCTTCCAGAGCTACCTCTGCACAGAGTGCTCCAGGACTGGCCTGTAAGGATACTGGATCAGCTGGAGGGAATTGATAAACCCTAAGCAACAGAACAGGAATGAAGTGTGGGGAGATCTGCAGGATATGTCAACCCAGCTGAGTATGAGTAGTCCCCAGCCTGCCTGACTGTCCCAACACTGCCAGATTGTCTCCTCCCATTTCCTTCCCTAACAAACACCTACACATTAAGGTTGCTGCTCCTCATCCCTCTTCACCATGACTCTGTTTTATTGTGGGAGATGGAGATGGAAGTATGCTCTTTGAAAGGAGGATAGGTTCATTCCATTGCCTGGCATGGGTAGCCCTTGCCTGCTGGGATGGCTTTGCCCCAAGGTAGCTCCCCTCTGCTTTTTTGGGGTGACACATGGGCTGTGTTCATGATTTCCCCCCACTGGTGACACCAGAATGAGCCAGGCTTCTCATCCTGTCAAGTTCTGCTACACAGCTCATGCCAGAGACCTTCTTCACAGTGTTCCCCACAAATTCATGACCCCCATGGAGCAAAGAGTTGCCTTCTAGCAAGACCTGACCATCTTCTGCAGATCCCAGTGACCCTCATGACTCTCAATATGCTTTAAGGCACTGGATTGACTCATGGTGAACTGGAGCAATAAAGACATTCCTAGATTGCTGCTGTTGCCTCCTGTGGACAGATTCTGGGGGACGTCCATTGCAGTGAGCTATGTCAGGGGGCTGTTGGCTGCCTGTACAGATGACATGCAAAAAGGGACACTTTGGAGACAGGTCTGCTGGCTGAGCAGATGATGGCAGGAGGAGGCTTTGTCCATATCGGCTCCTTCTGGAGTGTGGAGACAAGCAAGACTGCACCTGATGATCATTAATGGCAGCCAAAACCAGCTCCTCCTCGCTCGTCTGCTGCATCGGCTTTCTTCTCCCCCGTGTGGCAGAACTTCCAGCCACTGATATGCGAGGAGAGTCTTTTCTAATTGTTCCTGACTTCAGATTGCTGCCAGGTAAACAGCATGGAGATTAGTGGAGACAAGTAAATAATTTGTAAATAATCATTTATTTATTATTTTTCCCTCCTTTTTCTGCACAAGCAGATTGCAAGATGCCTCAGAAGTGCTCGCAATTTGGAGCGAGTTCTCTTGTGAAGCATTTCCCACACCCTATGAATAACTTATGAACAGATCAGAGTGAATATTAAAGGCCTGAAAATCCAGAGACTTGTGCTGCTAAGCTGAGTAAGTGCCGCTCCAGCTCCTCAAATAGATGAGCTATCCAACGAAACAGCATGAGGAGGTTTTGCAGTGCTGTAATTAAAGTGTGCGCACATTTGTCAGTCAGTGGCTTGCTGGTGGGGCAGGGTAGGTGGTATGCACTAGAGGGTGTACCTTGAGAAACGATGCCATCTTACAGCTGAGGGCCCATGAATGTGATTTAAACGTCAAGAAAAACATTTTCTTTTGGAGCTGGTTCATGCAATACCATGCTCCATGGGAAGCAAACATGACCTGACCAGCTGGACTGGGCTGATGCTGGCGGTGCACAGAGGAGTTTCTGGATAGCTTACCAAGTCCATAAATTATCCACGTGGTGGCAGAAGGCATGCACAGAGGGTTTGAGCCCCAAAACTGCTGAGAGCATGAAGATGCGCTGACTTCAAAGAATCCAGAGCTGGGCTCACACTTGTCATCAGTTAGGTGCTGTGTGCTGGGTATTTATCCACCATTAAGCTCAGCCAGCTGCTTTGTGTTATTAAAAAAAACCAACAAAACAACAAAACATGATTATAATTCACTTGGAGAAAGTCTTCCTCTCCCCTGCTTGGCTCCTGAGCACTACATGAAATGGGAGGTGGGATGTAACCTGACATCCCGATTGCTCTTACAGAGCTCTCTATCCTGTACTCAATAATCCCATGTCCCAGCATGGCCAAACACACTGCCTGAGGTGATGCTGGCAGGACTGTGGGCTGTATCTGCTTTCAGGCATCTTTCTCAGTGCAAATCTCAATAGTTTCTCAAACACTGAGACACGCTGACATGGAAGTGTACATGAAGCAAAGGTGTGCCATTGAATTCCTCCCTATGGAAAAAACTGGCACCCACTGACATTTATTGATGCTTGCTGAACATTTATGGAGACCGAACAGTGGATTTTAGCACAGTGATGTGTTTCAGCAGTGGTGACAGCAAAGTGAGAGACAAACCACTTTCCAGATGGCCAAGCACAGCTGTCATACCATGAAATGAAGAGTGTTACAATCAGTTTGTCAATGCGAATTGGCCAATGGTGGTGACTATGTTGAAAAATAGCATTTTGTAGCTGAGAATTTGCTCTATCAAGTAGTGCTATTGTGTTTTGTGTTTCTCTTGTAATTTCCATGGGAACAGTAAGAGGCATTACTTTTAGAGCAACCTACGTACCAGCATGGTGCAGGTCTTTTGGCTTCCTGGGCCAAGTGCACCCACAGAGCAATGCACTGGGCTCTAGTGTAGCTCCCTGCTCTGGAGCAGACATCCCTAGAGACATCTTTCGATATCGGACGGCTCCATCCCATCCCTGCAGAGCAGGGCTGCTTTCCCCAGCTGTGACGAGTTCCCAGTATGTGCTGCGTCCTCCCCATCTCCCAGTTGTGCCCCCAACCTTGCTCCCTCTGCTCAGCAGATGGGAAGGACTTGAAGCACCGCATCGCTCCCCCTTGCAGGGTCCCCCCTGCATCTGCAGGCCCTTCCCCTCTCCGTCAGCCCCGTGCACCTGCACTCCAAGGCGGAGCGGGATTTATCCTGCCCCAGGCGCTCAGTGTGAGGGGTCAGCCCTCATAAACCTCACCGGCACTGCAGCTTGGGCCAGCTGTCTTGCTTGTATTCATGGGGACAACATCCATGTCCTGAGTGCGTCAGGATGGTGCCTGGACCATCCTTTGGACCAGTTCCCATCC